GCGGCGCCTTTTGCAAAGCGAGAGCAAGGCAGCGTAGCTGCCGGGTCTGACAGCACGACCGCGGCCGAGAGCCCTTGATGAAAAGCTTTGTGTGCTGCTGCCTTCACCTGTAGCTGGACTAGATGGCCCCTTCCAACCCAGTTCTTTTCAGGGTTCTACATTCCAGGGAAGAAACGGGATTGTAAGCTTCCCAGGCTGCACGGTTACCATCCTTAGGTAGCGCCTTTCTCCAATATTCCTTCTACTTACGTTGTCAAGTGCCTCAAGGAGTGATTTGGTCCTTACCAGCAGTTACACCTCATACTCGACATTCCTTGCAGCTGTGTCATTTGCAAAGAGCTGTCATTATTTGCCTGTTTTCCACCACCACATCTTCCGGCTTTCAACAAGACTCTGCTCAGAGCAGCCTCTGCGGGCCTGGCAGTAACGTGGGCACGGGCACAACCGCGCCGCTTGTCCTCGAGCCCCACACAACGGCTGCATTTACACGGACGGTGCCTGAGACGCCTCGAAGCTATTGCAGCCAGAAGACAAAAGCCATTTCTTCTCTGCCTTGTTTCCAAACAGGCGGCAGGCACGTGAGCGTGACACGGGCGCCGCAAGCAGTCGCAATCGCCGCGCTGCGCACGGGACAGCAGCTGTCGTCCCCACCAGGACGGGACTTGCCCCGTTCCTCTTCTCGGCCGCCCAGAAGGGCAAATGCCCTGGAGGGCTCCCACGTCCTCGCTGGGGGGAGCTGCCAGGCGCTGCGCTCCCGTGTCCAGAGGCGCGGGAAGGGAGGTGAGCGGGGACTGCTCCCTGCGGCAAAGGGACAGCAGGACCAAACTAATTTTAGCAAAGAGAAAACACAAGCAGAGACACCGGACAAGGTGTGAAGCTGATGAAAGCCGAATGAATTAAAAAGGAAAAGGCACATCGACTAGCACTGAATTATTCACCCCTGCACATCCATCTCCCTCTGCTCCCCTTCACCAAAATAATTCTGGAATGAGCTAAAAGCGCTTCCTGCAAACTCCAAGCGCTAATTAGCTTGTGAAGGAAAGAGGGACAGAGTTTCCTATGGATGTCAGGTGCAGAGTTGAAACTCAGGGCTCGTTTCCCACTCCGCATTTCACCTCCTCTGCGTCAGCATTAGACGCCTGGGCAAAGCAACAGCTCTGCTCCTCACGCGTGCATGCGAGCAGACGAAACCGAGCTCTCGGTGAGCTCCATCAGCCTCCACGCTGGATCCCAGCAGGAAAACCCACCGCTGTGCCAGCGGAGGGATGCACCTCTTCCCTGTGGAGAGGCTCTGCCTCCCGGTTCACGGCCATGCTTCCTATGCAGCTGCTGACCTTCCCCAGCCACCAGCCTTGCTGGATATTTCATAAGGGGATTGTTGTTGTCTTGTGGGTTGCACATTTAAGATCATTATATTTGCAGCACAGATAGAAAGGATCTATTTAACCAGATCTTTTAGTCTCTCTCTGACACACACACGTATATGTGTAGCATGTGCCCCCCTCTGTTGCACTGCGGGCAGCTCGCTGCATGCACATGTGCGCATGATGCATGCCCTTTGGCTGCCTCCATCACATTTGGGCTTAATTAAACACCCCAGAGGCTTGTTTCTAAACTGAGATTATTGATAGACTGCTTTTTTTTTTTTTTTAGGCCCCGACTGCTCCACTTCAGAACTAAATAACTAAATGAGGTGAACAAAAAGATTCAAATGGGAGAGAGGGAGGGAGAAGCGCGGCAGTGCTCACGTACAAGAGGTGCAGGCTCTTGGAGCAGACTGCAGAAGAGCATCACGGCAACCTCCTGCGAGCTCTG